TAAATCTTGGTTTTAATTGCTAACAGTGCAATAAAATTATTTAACATAGACACTTCTCGCGCCGACCTAGTCCATAATATGCAATTATCTATAATTTATTTTATTATTCTCTCTGTTTACGATATTTTACAAAATAGATTAAAGAGTATATTGCTTTATAGGCATCTGGATCAATGTGAATATTATGGAAAATGTGGAACATTAAAAAAAAATACCCGAAAGAGTGGAAGGTGAGCACGTTACAGAAATATAGAGCATGGATATACTGTGCAACATCAAATACAAACTTAATCTACTAAATTGTAACTACAAAAAACTAAGACACACGACAGGACATACACAATGATTTTAATTTATAAAAATAATAGTTAGGCAGTTGGATTAAGGGTCTGATGCAGAAAGCAGTTCTTCTCGATACGGCACGTATTGTAAGGAAGTTTCTGTCTCTGGAGTCCTAACCACCGATATCTTGGTCTCTGTACCTACCCGATACCGATGGGATACTATTTTTTATATTTTTAAATGTATTTTTTTTTTTGCTTTTGTATATAAATATATTTAAAAATGTAATTTATATGTATAAAGAATGAAATAAAGATAATAATAATAATAATATTCTACCACTCCTACCCTACCCTATAATTTAAGTTTATTTATTTATCCAAGCATAAAACGAAAGCCTGATTCATAGGTTACATTTACTCGTAAGTTCCACATAGAATGTCTAAAGCAGATGATGAACGTTCTACTATATATCACTCTTAAGCTACCAATATATATTCAATGAGCAACATACACCGACAGTGAGCGTACTATAAAAAGCGATTGTCGGTTATATGTCCGGAAGTGTCTAATATCACAGAATGCACAGGTTGTGAACAACCGGCTCAGCCTACTGTGACACGCTATGGCCGTTAAGGCCCGGAGTTCTCTGAACGTCGCGTAGGTCGCGTGCGAGCGACGACCGACGCGTGTCCTCCGCCGGTGGCGTACGAATGCTTTGTATGGGAAACGCTCAACGCTGGGTTCTTAGAAACGTCGTCGGCGGCGGACAGTGCGAGCGGACAAGTTCGAACGCCGCACGCGTCGCTCCGTATCATATTTGTACCATAGCAACGGGTGCACGCCGCGGCGTACTGTCTTTAAAATTAAAAAAATTACGAATTGTTAATTATTTTATAGGATATAATACTATCTTGTTCGATGTATCAAAGAACAATTTATGAACATCAGAAGTTCATCTGCCACTACAGACACGATTCACGATCACGATCACAATTACGGCTACAAGACGCCCGCGTCCAGATAACTAACTTGCACGCGGCCGACGGTCAGAGAACCCCGGGCCTAACAGGAAGTAGACGAACATAGAAAGCGACGTGTCGGCTAGCAGTACACATTTGTACACGAAGTAACTATTGCACAAATGGTTTAGCTTTAGCTGGTTAGAGACTTGACCCTTTACAAATTGTCGATTCATTCTCCTTGAGACCTTTTGGCACTAAGTTTTCTTATTATTGGTACAATTGTATCCAGAGATTAACCTTAATATGTTTTAAGTAAAGTAAAACATTATTACAAACACCTGATTAGTCTAAATAAGTGATAAAATATTTATTTACATAAAAGCTGTTGATTATTATGATAAACACTGTGGTGTTTTTTTATCTACAATAAAAATGGTACTACCTACCATTTTTTTAAATGTTTGAGATTGGTGTCAATCATTCAATCATATAAAAAAATGACTCACACATTCACGACCACACCTGGACAAGACAAAATAATTTCATTTCTTTTTTGTGCCGTGTACAACGGTATACCGCTTTTGGATAATATATAAATTTACCGAATCAGAACGCTTAAATCGCAAATGTTTTTTTTTTGCAATCTTGACGCTTTAAAACTGGAGTTAATCTGCACTATCAAACAGTCGCCATTTTATTCTTACAGGCTTTAAGGTTTTTAGATGGTGTATTGATGAAGAAATTGTTTTTATAAATATTTATCTTTATTTAGATTTGAAATAAATAAATCGTTATTTGTCATTATCAATAACATATATACAATTCGCACCCTCAGTAATATATATAGGGCTCAAGTCAAAATTTTTATGAAGTGTGATTTTAAATGCTAAGGGAATAAAATAAAATAATCTACCGGTTAGCACGGACAGAGAAAGAAAAAGGATAATAATGACTCGGTGTTTGTCCAAAAAAACAGGTGAGTTTTGTTCTAAACTTTTTGTATTATATAGAACAATTTGTAGTTGCGCCTTTATATAGTGTGTACAAAATTTCGTCATTTTTTGGGTCTGATTCATAATAGATCGCCATATTGCCAAAAAGTGAAGATGTTTTGTGCTACATGAGCTTAACTTGACAGTGTTTTTTCAATCACTTGTAATTTATGGGATTCATTTATTATCTTTTTTTTTCAAAGAATAAATCTGCAACTTTATTCGAAAAATAAGCTGTAACTATTTTTTGTATTATGCCTTTATATTACTAAGGGTGCGATGATTCTTTCTTTAAAAAATGTAATTTCTAACAGTGCCAAAGTGTCAGTGAGAGCAACAGAAACTGCTTTTATTTATTGCAGCTGTATTCAATATTATGCAGAATGTATAATGCATGTTTAGGTCATTTATCTTTTTCGTACACTTGTTTTTGTTACGTTGACGTATGATAAAACTCATTTTTTTTATGTAACGTCTACGATGAAATGTGATGCTTCATATTCTAACACTTTAAAAATCATACGCAACATTTTTTTTTCCAATAACTAGTGGCACCTAAGGGGTTAATTCATTTTGGTAGCTACCTATGTAATTTTTATCTTGGGCGGGTAAATAAGTTTCTGGTTCTGTAATGGTATTATTGTCAAAAATATCGCGTACTGCGAGAACTATTTCGGGTATGAATTACTTTTCGGGTTTTTTTCTTTCACCGCTACTTTCCTGAAGTCGATTAAGGCAAGTAGACCCCGACGCAGTCGAGGTATTGCTAACCTATCTCTATATTATCATGACGTTACCTTATTTTTTTACATTCCAATGAACTTTGCTATATATCCTTGCAGTGCCCGGCTGACGGTAATTGCGGCATTTACTTAGTTGACAAAGTGTTGGAGTTTAAAACGACTCTAAAACCTCTTCGTGAAAAATAATACAGCATGAATAACTTCACTATTACGAAATTTTAGGATTTCAAATATACTGGTGATGAAAAACAGTTGAGGAAACTTGAATTTCGAAACCATTCAAAACTGTTTTTTAATTTACAGAACTATCATAGGATGATTGTCTCTTTGCCGTGGCTTCTTCCGTATGTTCTGAGCTACTTATCAAGGCAATTGAATGCGTAATTACTGTCGCTAAGTACTGTATACATGTTAAATGGTACGGTTGTAACACATGTTGTCTAGTGTATAATATTCTTTGAACTTGGCTGGACACGCTACCGCGTGTCTAGATAATAGTCATTATGACATAAAGAAAATAAAATTTGATCAACGTGCAAATACATATTGTATATACAAACACTCACGCCAGTGTTCTGGAGGGGTAAGTTGCTATAATGACCAACTTAAACTACTAGGTACTATGAGTTCAGTTAAGTTCCATCAGCGATCTTTTAGCTATGATTGTAAAAGGAGGGCGCGGTGAACGTACCATAAAGTTTTCTAGAAAATTCGAGGTTGATCGGTATAGCCGGTTGCACGAAACTATGAACAAATGAGTCTGTATAAAAAGTTTGTAATATGGAATTCCTTCGTTATAAACACTAGTATGCTATATGGAATGGTGTAATGTCAAACGTCTTCTTCCTATATGTTATACTAGACCTTGAATGGTACGTCAGTAGGAAGTTTTAAATGTGAAATATTCAAATAAATTTGTCCTGTTTACTAAATAGCCTTGAAAATTTTCGCAGCGTGCTCCTTCTGAACCTAGATCAGTATTAAACAAAATTAATGTGAAAATACAGGATTTTCTTTCTTATATTCTCTATTTCTCTTTAATATAGTAGTTGTATTGTTAAACGTCATCAATGATTTTTTATATACTATATATATACATACTCATAACATGTTACAGTCTATAACGTGTTAAAATTCTCGTGAGATACTGAAATAGATATAAAAAATCTACTTCAAATTTAAAAAATAACATTGTTTATAAATTTCTCATCAATAAGAGATGACCTTTCTAAATTGAGACAAAATAAACGTTGGCTACATGATGTAAATGATATGAATATTACAACACAGACGTTTTAAATGTATTGTATGCCTAAGTTGGGGAGTATGTGGGCGGCGACGCACCACAACCTTGGTACTGATAAAACCCTTGCCTCGACTTACATTGCCTCACTGTCTGTACATGTGCACAACTACACATCAAACATAATAAAATAACGAATTATTTGTCCTCAACCGAATTCAAACAACAAGCTTCTAAAAGTTCGGTCTTCTGTTGTCGAGGACGTGTCCTTTTCTGTGTTATATCTTCTAGTTTAAGTGTATTAATCATTATTAATAATAAACATTCGTAATGCTATTTCTGTGATGAATAACTACAGTTTCTAATAACAATTGCTAAAGTAATATGTATTATAATTAACCCTAACATTGAGTCATACAATGTACGCACGAATATATTAGTATTTATGAACTCTCCACATTTATTGGTAAACAATTTCCTCTGAAACTTGCTAAAAACTCAATTCCGGGAGTTTCCAGTGTTGTTATCCATTATTGATATAAGGAGAATCAATTTTTTCTTTGTTTTCTATGTAAACAGTACACGGACCTCCATACTAAGTTATGGTAATATGATGCCAAGTCAAAGAATCAAACATTAGGTATCACAATATAGAATTGGTTGACTACCTGACAATATTAACCTGACCGTAACTAATGTAATGCAATGGCCAACTTAATATCCTTAATCTCAGTACAAGGTAATCTGCCAAGTATTTTTGTTGGAGAATGCTTACTTTGTCCTTTGATGGGAGGCGCCTCAGGTTAAGCAGCTTTTGGTACTGCCGGAGAGCTCTCATATATAGCCTGACTGGAAGATCAGTGGCAAGAGGGATTTGCTCCGCGCTCCGGGATGCCACCCCGGCACCACTCATCGCAATCCGAGGTACACACACACGCGTTCTTTATTCATAAGCACAAACGCCGCGTCATAGACACGAGCGCCAATCGCGCGTCCGAAGTGAACGTTGGCTCCATGCAACACTGAAGTATCGCGCGCCCCGCGCATGCGAACTTAACATGCTTCGATTGCAAAAAGAAACTACAAGTTAATAACGCTTGAGTGACTTTCCCTAGTCCACGCCTTCTGATGTCAATGGATCTGACTAGCTTTTACCATGACTGTAACGTATGCACGGTAAAGTTAAACTTCTCCATTGGTGATTTAGAGCGATTAGGGTAAAATCCAAAAGCTTTTTAACGGAAATGGTTTGATCTTAGCCTTTCTTTAACCTATGGCAAAGGTTAACAGTTTAATAGCTTATGATTATATGTTATGAGCATTAGTCAGTATCAGTATAGACAATTTTACTACGGTTTTTTTTTTAGGTTTTCGGTTTTACGGTTTTCAAAAAGCTGCATTTGATTTATAGTTAACACATCAAATAGTACAGAAGGTATGAAGACTATATGTACGTATAAAGTTTTCATAGCCAAAACCCTCAAAAGCTATTAGAAGTCCTACTGTTATGTTATTCTACACACATTATTATAAGCGTCCTTTTTTTCTGTAAAATATTCTTATTTTTAAAACCCCAACTGTAAGAGATTAAGAAAAATTATTAAAATTTGTAAATGTTGGTAATGATGATTCATCAAAAATCCATGCTTTACTTCTAGGACTAGATAATTTAGAGATATGTTTGCAAATTCAGTCGTAATTCAGTTGAGAGGCTCAAGCTTCCCACAAAAAATATAATATTTGAAAGATAATAATAAGTCATATATAAGTATAAGTTTATTGTTGTAAAAATATTTTCATATGTACTTTTACATAAAAATTTAGCAAGTTTATATCAAAAGCTAAAGCTAAAAAGCTAAGCTAAATTCAGCTTAATTTCCGTTTTTAGTAAAAAATAACTCACGTTTATATTCTTGGCTGATTATTATGTACTCCTAGCTTAGAACATCGTCCTTCTCACACAATGCATTGATATATGATTACCTACTTATATTTTTGCAGTATGTTTAGGTTGAACTCAACATATAATATTATTTTACATAGTCCAGCATCAACTACTATTATTTAATGTCACAAACTCCTTCTAATATTTGTTGTAAAATAAGGAGTCCTGTTATCCATAAGTGGAAGGATGTATATTTCACCGAGGCGTTAGATCTTCCTTTGATCAGCCTATGTCGGGACCCGTAAAATAGAAGTAAGTAAGACCTTAAGACAAGGCAACAAGATATACTTATCGTTAATCTATTTATTTATAGGAATACCATTCACGGAAGTGTTTATTCTAAATGTATATGGTATAGTATGTCTTGTATTCTTTCCTTTAACTTTAATTATATGAGGGATTCCCAGTACGTAATATACACAGCTGTTAATATGAAAGTATTGTATCAGTAAACATTAAAAAATTACGAGAACACGATAATAATTTTAAAGACGAAATAGGTACTTAATTGAATAGTTTAATTATCTCTAATACTTAAGGAAATTACAGTTACGTTATACTACAGAGGATGAATGAAACTGATATTTGTCGAATGGTCGAATGATAGGTATGTAGGTTTGGTAAGTTTGATTTGTTGAGTATTGATTGAGTGAATTACACTATGGTAAGTAAAAGAATAAACCTTCTCCTAGGGACTTTTTTAGCAAACTATAAGTGCCTAAAACTATTTATGACTATGATTTTCTACATTTTTCATGCATCAACAGTTATTTAGTTTCATGCGTCAATGCTTACTCAATTGATAACCGAATTGTACAATATTTTACATAAAATATGGCCATTTGACCCTTTTACGTCACTGAGACATTGACATCATAGTATGGACAATGACACGAGTATTCGCGATTTTAAAATCCAGACAAAGAAACGACATCTGATCAAAGTTCGATATTAGGTAAGTAATATGGATTTTTCTACATCAGTTTTATGTTGTTTGTGTTGATGAGTCAATGTATCAGATGATGGTTACATTGCCATTAAAGCCACGGCATGTACAATAACCTAATCGATCAAATAATGCCATCTTTAAGCTTCTTGGAACTATTGGCCTGCGACTACAAGTAGATATTAAACTGCAAAAACAAAGAAAGTAATAATGTTTGGGCGAAAAATAAAAAAATGTTTCAGTTTCTTTTTTTCTATTACATACAATAGATAATTGTACTTCATAATTAGTCTGCTTTAAGTCAAGATAGAAGTCCCACAGGACAATTGACATTAAATTAATTGGTACCGATATTACCTTTTTCAATAATAATATAAGTAGGTATGTAGAGACGTAATAAGGTGAAGGACTGTTATAACATTGAGACTGTTAGATAAATGCTGTACTTCACTACTACAGATGACAAGACAATACAATACATTACGCACAGCCTCTAGATTGTGACTAGATTGTTCCAAAATACTTTCTCGCACAAAACCTGTTTGCATTCGTATTACAGATAGATTAAATGATAACCATATAAGCAAGGATCAAATCGTAAGATACTAAACGAATTTTATGCTATGTTTAGTTAAACAATTAATTTATACCTAAACAAGGAAAAATATATAAAAACTAGCTGTAGCCTGCTTCGCTGTGGCACATTGTGGTTGCATCAATGAGAAATAAGGAGCAACACTAAAGCGACAAAACAAAATTTGAAGCGGGCTGTATATCGTGTTAAAATTTGAGCTCAATTGATGCAGAAGTTTTTTAAAGGGGTACAAACTTAACATTGATTTACATATAAATGTAAATAACGCATTAAAGCGGTAACCGCTCTAACAGTCAAATATTTAAAGGTCATATCGTTTGTAAATAAACAAAATAAATATTATGTATGTTGGACCTGTAGTGTTCATAGTTATTATTGTTTTCTCTCTTAGCTCTATAAAATTCGCTTTTTATGTACATATAAAATATTATTTAGCAGCGTTTGATATAATCAAGTAGGTAATATTATAATCTGTTGATAACTCCGCGACCAAGCTGAATGTCTGAAGGATTTTGTCTCCAACCCACATGACTGCAATATCGATGAATTTACCGTATTTTATGTTGTAAAGGGACGTGTCACCTGGTTATAAGTCACTGCCGCCCAAGGACACCTACAACTCAATAGCCATGAGTGTGTTGTAATGCTTTGACTGCTCCCCCCTAGAATTAATGGGTTGGGCTTCCGGTTTCCGTCACTTACTCGGTAAAATGCAAGAAATAATTCTTAAATATTTGTCTCAATGTAGCAATACTTTGAAGTCTTAAAATGAGAATCTGATATATATTTTTATACAGAATATTATATCAACCAAGGCAGCGCACAGCAGGAGGTAGGTTGTTTGTTTATCAATAAAGACATGAATAAAGTAATAAGGATGGAGTCACGCCACTACACTTTGTAATTGAAATGATTATTCATTGTAATAAAACGGAACTATAACGATACTTCATAGTGCGTGTTGTTTATCTACATATATGTATACGTAGATATATAGATAAACTGGTATACCTTGGGACGGTAGAACAATCGATCTTTTTATGTTGACACCGCTACTTGAATAAATTTGCCTTAGTCTTGACGTTGGTTTAATACTCGAAGACCGTACTACAAGTCAATCAATATTAATTATAAATAAAAATGTTAAGACAAGCAATCTGAGTTAATGTGCGGAAAGTGCCCCCATAGGAAACTCGAAATCCGGCGGTTCATACCTGTGGCGTTTTTTAATGTTTCAAACTAACTTTTGTAGTACCATTACTTAGATCTGTAACGTGACTCACCTGATCCCAAGTGGTTAATGGTGTCTATGAGCCATGAAGTTATAGCAACTCTACTTATTTATATATACAACACAACCTCCACCACACAGTGTGTTGTAAACGAGAAGGCTCCACCATCTCGTGCAACACACCGTCGTATTATCCGTCAATAGTCTAAGTTTTTTTGTAAAACTCAAATCAGAGAAACTTGTATGCTTATAACATAATCGGATAAGCTTTATTAAGTAGAAACCGAGAAGCCGAGAACCGAGAACCGAGAAGAGTTTTTGTTTAATTTAACTAAGACTGAAATACAGAAGTTTTGAAAACAAATGCATTCTAAATATTTACATAGTCTAAAATAAAGTCGCTTTTTTCTGGTACGCTTAAATCTTTCAAACTAAGCAACGGATTTTGTTGCGGTGTTTACCAATAGAAAGAGTGATTCAAGAGCTGGGTTTACATGTATAACTAGCGATCCGCCGCGGTTTCGCACGGCTGCAATGTAGGAGATACTACTACTAATGTGGTGTTAGCGTGGAGGAATTAATTATACTTTGATAAGACTATACTACAGGACATCTTAGTATGCAATATTTATAGGCCCGCGCCGCTCCTAAGGACAACTTGTAGTATGTTTGTGTAATATTAAAAAAGTTTTGTACATTATCCTTAGGAGATAGACATACATACCATCGTGGCCTTTTCTGTAGCTCTTTTTAAGATATACAATTCCGTAGTACATTATTTTGATCTACCTCGTAAGGTTTAGTCAGTGTTTGCAATGTAAGCGCAAAAAACATGTCTATTACGACAAATCTCTAAAGTTCTCAGATTATCTGTACCATAATCTGAATGCATTATATACAGCTATACCTTCCTCTTAAGTCACTCTCTCTATTGGTAAAAACCGCATCCGTACAAGAATAAAAAGCGACAATTTTTTATACTATGTAAACAAGTATCTTTACATAGTATAAAAAATTGTCGCTTTTTATTCTTTTATTCCTCGCTTCGCTTTTTATTCCACATATTTTTATTTCCACCACTATGACTTGCAGTAGCAAGTCATAGTGGTGGAAATACGCGAATTTACAAGATTTGTAAAGTGAAGTCGAGATTCCGAGATAGATCAAAATAATTTAGGGGTAAAAGTGGAAAATTA